TTGAACCTATATGGGATACGATATGCATAGTAAAGACTAACTTTATTTATTCATATTGGATTCAATTTCAAGGGTAATGGATTATCATCCCAAGGAGATTATGTAAGTTTCATTGATCTTTAAAATTTAGTTCACGGATCGATTCGGTATTAGACGATTCCTAATTAAATCTATATATATATATATATATATTAGCGTTACTTGTCTCTTTCTTGCCGCTAAATGTGAACATGCATTTGTTTCTATCGAAGAATTCGTCAAAGTGTCTAGGGTTCCCAAAAATCGTATCTTTGAACTCGAACTTATTGTATCTAGGAGTCTAAGATATGAATACACTATACATCATCCATTTATACCCGCATTTGGATATTACTTGGATTTGCAGGTAATTAAGAAGTTATATCAATTCCTACCTATTATACATACTCGAGATTTTGAAGTTTTTTTTTTTTTTTAATATAGAATGTTGTCAAAGATGTGGGCAAAATCAAGTCAATTTATGAGAAATCTATCAGCTTTATCAAAACATCTATACTAACTGATGTGATGTTTCTTTATCAACCATCTCAAATTTCTTTGGCAGCATTAAGGATGGCTGCCAAACAGGATAAATTTGACCTTAATAAGTATGGTAAATAAAATACTTCTCTGAATGTCTTTATAATCGTTTTATGTTAAGCGATTTTCGTTTTACTTATCATTTAGTTATTTGCGATCTAAATTTAAGTCTGACCCTCCGGAGAAAGTTGAATCTCTTTATAAGATATTGGATGAAATTGAAGATACCATCAAGAATCATGAATTGACTTCTTTTGAACAGGCGAAGTTAATTGATGCTCGCTTGCTTAGATGTAAAAACCCCGAAAAAAACCCCAACAGTGCTATGTAAGTTGTGCTTTAACTGATAATGATCTTCAGTTGCGTGTAACGTTTCTTAATACCTTTGTAAAGTTCCAGAAAGCGACTCCTTGAAAAAGAAGAAAGTGAGGATGCGGAACGACGTAAAAAAAAGAAATACGCGGAGGAATATCAAAAAGACGTGTCCTCAGTGTTTGATTGACATCTGCCAAAAGGTACTATGAAGTTTATATTATATTTATTTTTATTATTACTCAGAAACTTTCTAATATTTATTTATATATCTACCAGTAATTATGCAAGATTGTAATTTTTTTTTTTTTTTTTTTATAAAATGTTCATTCCCTTTTTAATGCTTTGTAATTGCATATTGAATTCAAGTTATGGTAATGAAACATTGTTGCTTCTCTTTTAAATACACTAAACATCTACGCTAAATGGCCTAAACTAAATTCTAAGTAAAATTGTATAAATTTAAAAATGAAAATTTTTTTATAATTCTTCGTGTTTTAGTGGTTGTTGATCTTCCGATTCTGGTTGAGCATCACTATATAACTTGGAGGTAATTGGATTAACAACTGCTTGTAGCTCTTCTCGTTTCTCGTCAAAATCTTCTTTGGTAGCTGTATTCGAGTTTTCGTCGAACCAATCCAGACTTTTCTTGACTGCGTCATTAATGGTGGCCTTATCTTCGGAACTAAGTTTCTTTCCAAGTTCACCATCATCGGAGATTTGACCTTTAAGTGAGTAAATAAAGTTCTCGAGAGTATTCTTGGATTCCACACGTTCCTTTTGAACCTTGTCTTCCTCGGCAAATTGTTCGGCTTCTTCAACCATACGTTCGATATCCTCTTTGCTGAGACGTCCCTTATCATTGGTGATTGTGATTGATTCGGATTTACCCGTGCCCTTGTCGGATGCTGATACTTTCATGATACCGTTAGCGTCAATCTCAAAAGTAACTTCAATTTGTGGAACGCCACGTGGTGCCGGGGGGATTCCAGTCAATTCGAACTTCCCAAGTAAATTGTTGTCTTTGGTCATCGCTCTTTCGCCTTCGTACACTTGAATTAATACGGTAGGTTGATTATCGGCGGCAGTAGAGAATATTTGTGATTTCTTTGTGGGGATTACGGTGTTACGAGGAATCAATTTGGTCATAACGCCACCGGTTGTTTCTATGCCGAGAGTAAGAGGGCAGATGTCGACTAATAGGACATCTTTAACACGCTCATCACCAGAAAGGATACCACCTTGAATTGCGGCTCCATAGGCGACTGCCTCATCAGGGTTAATGTTCTTTGATGCTTTTTTACCATTGAAGAATTCCTCGAGAAGTTGTACAACCTTTGGGATACGAGTGGAACCACCAACAAGAACAATATCGTGTACGTCCTTTTTGTCAATGTTTGCATCCTTCAATACTTGTTCAACTGGCTTCAGGGTCTTCCTGAATAGGTCGTTGTTGAGTTCTTCAAATTTGGCGCGTGTCAATGTTTCCGAGAAATCTTTTCCGTCATGGAATGACTCGATTTCAATACGAGTTGACATTTGCGATGACAATGTACGTTTGGCCTTTTCAACTTCTCGCTTGAGTTTGCCCATGGTTTTTAATTCTTTAGTAATGTCGACCTTGTTCTTCTTCTTGTAGACTTTAACAAAGTGGTCAATAACACGATTGTCAAAATCTTCGCCACCCAAATGAGTGTCACCGGCAGTTGCCAATACTTCAAAGACACCATCATCAATGGATAAAAGGGAGACATCAAATGTACCACCGCCGAGATCGTAGACAAGAATCTGTTTTTCACCATCCGATTTGTCGAGACCATATGCAATTGCAGCAGCCGTTGGTTCGTTTACAATACGAAGGACATTGAGGCCAGCAATAATGCCAGCATCCTTCGTGGCTTGACGTTGAGCGTCATTGAAGTACGCAGGAACCGTTACCACGGCGTGGGTGACCTTTTTTCCCAAATATGATTCGGCGATCTCTTTCATTTTACCGAGAACCATAGCCGAAATTTCTTCGGGAGTAAAAGTCTTCATCTCACCCTTCACCTTGACTTGAATAACGGGTTTACCATCCTTTTCAACGACTTTGAATGGGAAGTGCCTCATGTCATTTTGAACTTCTTTGTCACTAAACCGACGACCGATCAATCGTTTGGCATCAAAAATGGTGTTTTCTGGATTATTCGCGGCCTGGTTTTTCGCCGCATCACCCACCAAACGTTCGTCATCGGTAAATGCGACGTATGAAGGAGTGATACGGTTACCTTGGTCATTGGCCAAAATTTCCACTCGTCCGTTTACATGTACGCCAACACACGAGTAAGTTGTGCCCAAATCAATGCCGATAACTATCATAATAAGTAGAAGATTAAAATTAATACAGATTTAGAACAGATCGAAGGCGGAACATATGAAAGGAATTTCGCTATTCAATTCCAATTCACAGGGACCACAGTTTCAAAGAAAACAGAGAAAATATCAAGGTCAAAGTATACCTGTGCCCACGTCAGGTTTCTCATCAGCGAGTACCAATGAAATGGATATCAACAGCGCACTTAACACTGCAAGGAATGTGAAGAAAGCAGCTTTCTTCATTTTTTATGAAAATGATTCTGACAATAAGTTCAAACTGTTGAATTATCCAACACCAGATGAATTGAGGGAAGTTTTGAGGTTAACGGAAATATCAGGTTAAACACAGATGGTCTGAAAAAGGATTTTTGAGAGCAGGTACAATTCAAGGCGTTTTTATATATCGATTGAAAAAAAATACATAAACGCATCACAATCGTTGTTGGCAAAATTTTATTGGTAAAAATTAGAGGTTACCAGCGCACGTATTTGGTGGCAATTTATGATTGGATGGATTTTGTCCAACACAAAAATTCATACGTGTTTATTAACTTACGCATGTTATGTCTTCATATCACGTGTGAAATTTAGTACAATTCGTCGAGGTACTTGGAGATGTCAAAACCAATGTTTCGGGCAATTTGGTTGACGCAATTGAAACTAACATTACATCGGTATGTGACACTTTCGAGTCGATCCAGTGGAGCAGCATGAGCTAGAAGACGATGAGTAACAAAGGATTCCATCTGTGTGCGCAAAAAAAAAAGAATGACATAGCATTTATTTTCTTGTGGCTTTCGAATCTTTCTTTGGACCGCAAAATTTTGAAGACAAACCTGCATTTGAATATCGAAAGTTGAGATGATTCGGTCGGCATATATGCTTTGAAAAATGGCTAACACACGTTCCATTTCGCATGGTTGTGGTCCTTTCTTTTCCGATGCAAGCTAAGCATTAAGATATGAGATTATTTGTCGTTCGTTAACACCTTTCCTCAATTTCAGTGCAAGGTAGCTCGTACATCCGCTCACCTTCATAGTAATATTACCACTCGTTTTCTTTTTCCTGGGAGATCTTTTTTTGTCGGTTGATTTTGCAAAATACCTTTGATCCAAGTGTTGCGGGATATATGAGCCTAAGAAAGTTGCTATCAATAAATATAATGACCACTTGGGCAATTGTTCCTCGGGCTTTACTGCACGAAAGGAAAATATCGTCAACCAATGAAAACGAAAGGTATTATCGAATTCGCAGAAATTTAATCATCAAGAAGCTCACCGGCAGTGTTCGACATATTCTGCATATACAATCGATCAAAGATCGGATCCAGATACGGTTTTAATTCATTGCATAAGAATGACACATCGTTCCGAGTCGCTATTCAAGAATTCAATTTATTATAAAGTTAAGTTGGGTCAATGAAACGCCCGAACATACACCAGCATATCGAAACTCATTTTCATACCTCTTTGTTCATTCACCGGCTTCATAAATTTATCGAAAAGTTCAGGTAGGAGACGTATGAAATCGAACATGTCGCAATTTTCGTAAAATATGTCACAAATATTTTCGACAAATTTTCTATAGAAACGGGGATCCTCATTCGCCGGACAATTCTTTGTCAGAATTTGGATGACCTCCTGTGTTTAACGATCGAAAAAATATTAAGGAGTTTTACAATCCCTTCGAGCCCATTTTTCCGACCAAATGAGTAATAAGGATATCTTTAGTGTATTCCTGAAAATAAAGTTGCCAAGGTTCAGACATTCCAATTATTTTTCGGAATTTTTCCCAAGGAACTTGAGTGATAAAGATCACACAGATATTTAGACCAGTCTGTGCATGTGCGTCAGTAGATAAAAGTTAGATGACAAAAAAAATTTGCAAGGTGACGATAACTACAGAAAAAAGTCCTTACCCATTGGGGGAGCGTCAATAAAGCTGGCACCAAGGTTGAAGACAGTTCCCATAATAACTCGGCATTGTCAAAAATCTATAACATCATCATATATACATATGCATGGCATGACAATAATCAGGTACACGCGAATCATCTTGATCAAACATTATTCTCTCACCAAATATCTAGTTTCTGAGCTATCTTTACAAAGTCTTTGCACTTCTACGGTGAAGTCATTTATATTTTTGCACGTGACGCGTTTTTTAGCAAGGCGTTTTAGAGCGTACTCGAATGTCTGTTGGGATGTGTAGCAAGCTTGACAGTTGATAAATGAGAAGAGTTCAGCTGGAAAGCCGAGGGTAAAGAGTCTTTTAACAAGCTCCGTCTTCCCTAGTGCCCTGTTTCCGTGGATAAAGATCGAGGGGGGAGTCCTTTCGCTGGGCTAAAAATTTTATTTACAAATATGTATTTAGACGTGCGCTATTGGCCGGACGGTTGGTATGAGAGAGGCATTACCGTCCCGAACCAGTTCAGCAGTGTTTCAACTTGACGCGTTCGTCCTGGAAATTCTTCCAACAACGCGTCTTTCAGGTGTTGACCTACTTTCATGATGTAGAATGTAGATAATGGAAGCGCTAACCCTATTTTACTTTGAAATATCAGTGGTTGTGAAAATGATCCAATCATCTGACGGGCCGCTCAACAAATTTCGACATCATACACTTTGATCGTTCACATCATATAGCAATAGATTTACACAAATCTTATCTAAATCGTGATTTCCTTTAATGTCTTATCTAAACCATGATATTTCAATAAGAATATTATATAGAACTCATAGATCATCTAATAATTAACAACTATTTTGTTATTTAGAAATTTCCTACAATCCGTTTGTTATGTTTGTTATGCTAAATTCTAATAAAATATAATCTTCAGTTAAACATTTGGTTGTCGACCTACTGTGAAAGAGAATTTGGCTAACGGATGGTTTTATAAAAACAAACAATCGAGAAAATTATTAATTATGGCGCGCAAATATTAGTGTGTTTTGGTTACTTTCTACGCCCTGTTCATAAGGGGTTTAGATATTACGTAATGATCTACTGATCTTGATCCCCAAAGCGGAGTGTAACGTAAGAGAAAATTTCCGTTTGGCTTTGCATCCAGGTCCCTGGTGCAGAAGTGAGCATTAGATTCGGAGACGCGATTATCGATCCATCTTCCTGCTTTTCTTTCTTTCTTCCTCTCTTTCAAGTAATTTATGAATCTGTTTGCAAATTCCTAGTTAATGAAATGTTGCTAAGTACGCAGAGTCTTTGCGGCTCAGAAGAATGGGTAAGTATTCCTCTCCGAATAAACCTCTTTAACACGCGTTTGCCGCAGTCTTCTTTTTTACTAAAATTCGCTCATTTGGATAGGGACCATGGAAAGATGTCTTTGATCTCACGCCCTGCGCTCGGGAAATGTATGTGTGTTTTTTTTTCGAAATTGCCGAATTCGAAATTTTTGCCTCCGACCGTCACGCAACTGACCTAGCTGGGACGTTTAGCATTCTGAATGCTGCCCTTTCTTTATGCTTTGTCTTTTTTTCTTTAATCTACCTAATTATTTTCGCTCTTCGTAAACGGCCACATCGAAGCATATATATTCCTCTGGAAATCGTTGAACAAGACTCAAATGAACGTGGATACATTCCCGTGTCCAAGTACGACATCGGTCAGCTTCTTGTATCCTTCCTTCAATTAGGTTTTGTAGGATTTCTTTTCGGTTGGAGGGTGGATGAGTATGACGAATCTTCCGGTAACAAAGAGCATCGACCTTACCTGGTGATCGGTGCAATCGGACTTTTCATCTCTTGGGTAAATGATAGATTTGACCTTTACCTTTTTGTTTACAATTCTTCACCACCGACTTGACCGTCATTCTCCATGCGTAGCTATATATTGTCATCTTGATAGCATGCCATTTCCTAACACGGAAAAATCAAACCCAATATGCATTTATCAAGCAACTCTTGTTGCTCTACGCGCTCTTCGCCTTACTTTCATGCATTAATCTTCGTTCCGTGATTAGGAGCATGGGTGAAAAAGGGAGGTTCGGTTATGAAGCAGGGTTCTCCATATGGAACACCATTGCTTGCAGTGTGTTATTAATTTTTTCCCTGAAAAGACCAAGAAATCCGGATCTGAAATACGCAAGGGACAGAGTAATTTCCCATGATACTATTGCATCACTTTGGTCGCTCATAAATTTTTCGTGGATGACGCCCATGATAAAATTGGGGAATTTGCGTAGTCTCACAGAAGATGATTTATGGGAATTGCCATCCAGATGTCAGGCTTCTCACTGTTACCACGAATTCGATCGGTAAGTCTACTATTTATGTGTATATATGTCGTCAAGTTGCATTTACCCGTTGGACTAAGATGAGTACATTTTATTGCCATTGCTATTAGAACAACAAATCTGGACCTTTTGTCACGATTACTCTTTTCCAATGCCACGAACCTTACCCTTTTCCTTATCATCGCAATATTACGCTCTATCTTTGCATTCACCACACCTTACTTCCTCTATCAGTTACTTAATTACATTTCCGTAAAGTACCCAGAAGAATATTCGGAAGAACCCTATCTCTATCTATTAGGAATTCTTATTTCCGAACTCTCTCGAATCATTTTTTTGAACCAACTGAACTATCAGGTGGTCTGGCTTGGAATAAGGGTGGAACAGATGTTAAGTGTGCTGGTGTACGAGAAACAATTACGTCTTTTAGCCTCGCCACCTAGAGCTAGTAATAGTAATAGGATAAACAATGTGTTGACGACAGATGTCGATGATATTGCCGGTTTTTTCTCGAATCTTCCTTTTATATTGACAATTCCTCTGGAGATAATTGTGGCATTGGTTTATTTATATTATTTGTTGGGATGTTATAGTTTCGTCGGTGTGGTTGTAATAATAATATGTATTTGGAGTAATAAAAGGTTTGGAAAACGCATCACGAAGTTGCAAAGACGTGTGAAGAAGGCACGAGATGAAAGGGTTGGAGAAATTTTTGAAGTAGGTCATGGTTGCTCTATGGTCATTATTGTATTCAGATCTAATTATGAGTTCGTCTTCCAATTTAGCTACTCCATGCAGTTCGTATGATCAAAATGTATGCTTGGGAAAATAGTTTTCATGACAGGCTGATGTGTAATTATTTCCTTCAATTGTCAATTGGCCAAAATATTTTTATCGTCTAATCACCTACAAAGTTACTGACCAAACTATATCAAAAAGTCTCCCGGCATATAGAGCTTTCACAACTCCGAGATCTCTTTCGGCGTACCACTTTACTTACCCTCCTCTTACACATCACACCATTCCTTGTAACATTATTCGCTTTCGCATCCTACACGATTTCTGGTCATCCGTTGACGGCCGCTATCGCCTTCACAAGCATCACCTTGTTCAACACATTGAAACAACCGTTACAGACTTTCCCGAATTTGATGTCCGAAGTTGTAGGACTAAGCATGGCCGTGGCCCGTGTGGAAAAATTTTTGAATGAGAGTGAGGTACAAAAGGAACTTTTACCATACGGTTCCGATTCTACAAGAACCCTCATCGGATTTACCAGCGCTGACATATGTTGGAATTATAACATGAATGTTCGCGGACTCGACGATTTTATGCTCAAAGGTGTAACATTGGAATTTCCTGTAGGAAAAATTAGTTTAATATGTATTTATCTCTAAAATTTATTTCGCGTTTTTCTTTGTTTTTTTTTTTAATTCACGATTTAGAATTTTTTACAAAGCGAAATTTCAATAATAATTATTTTTAAAGGCGGCCACCAGTATTCTGGGAAGACTATGCTCTTTCTCTCGCTCCTTCGTGAAACTGTGCTAATACGTGGAACCATCCACTTCCCGACCTCACCCGTTGCTTACGTTCCACAACAAGCGTGGTTAGAAAATACGACCATACGAGAAAATATCCTATTCGGAACGGATTTTGAAGAAGATCGTTATTGGGACATAGTTGATGCGTGCGGTCTGACCAAAGACTTCGAGAATATGGAAGAGGCTGATTTTACTGAGGTCTGATAGCGCAATTTATATATTGAAATTTGTTAGTTTTTTAGGGGAATGATAAACCCGCTCACACGAAATTTTGCACGACCAAAAGTATGACGAGAAAAATCTCATTCTAACAAATGGACAAAAGGCTCGAATTGCTTTGGCGCGAGCATTGTACAGTCAGGCTCAAATACTGCTCGTGGATGACTGTTTGTCTGATGTGGACTCAGATACAGGTTTTTGGATCAAATGATCTTCGTCCGTTATTCTAGAAATTACCGATCATCGTTCTAATACGTATAATTTTTACGCTTACCTAAGCTCGACAAATCATTGATAATTGTTTCAGGGGCCCTCTTGTTAGTGGGAGGACCTTGATAATAGCAACGCAACATGCCAGATACTTTCTGGACATCGCTGACTACGTGGCAATACTTAGCGATGGAAGTATTCAGGCAAAAGGTACACCGGAAGAGGTGCATGAATCTGGATTTTTAGTTGATGACATACTAGGGAAGGACATCAAACCAGTTCTCGATCAAACAGACAAACACGATCAGTATTTAGCAATTGAGAAATCCACCGCGGAAAAAAGAAATTGGGCGGCGGAAGAAGGTTAATAAAAAAAATTATTATTATTTTTTACGTGACTTTTCATTTGTCAACTTATGACTTCTCAAATTTTCATGCTTCCCTTACGTCGATCAGTTCGTTCCCAAGGAAAAGTTTCATTTCTAGTTTATTGGTCCTACCTAAAATCTAGTGGGGGACCGTTTCTTTGGTTTATTCTTTTCATTCTATTCGTTTTAATCAGAGCTATAACAGTGGGCGAAACATATTGGTTAAAAATGTGGACAGACCTGTATTTAACCAAGAAGGATTCGAACAACGGTTTTACCCTTGATGGACAATCATTAGATGATAAAGAAAAGGATAATATAATTAAAAGTATAGGAGTGTATGCCCTCATCGCATTTGTGTCGTCCGTTGTTACCCTCATTCGAATGTCATTCCAGTTTGTTCTATCTCTCAAAGGTTCAAGGACTCTATTCTCAAAACTCTTAAATTCAATTCTAAGAGCACCTTTGAGTTTCTTTGATACTGCTCCTCTAGGAAGGGTGATGAATCGATTTTCAAAAGATTTGGGTATGGTCGATCAAGGTCTTGTAACCGTTATAGCCGGTTTCCTCGGAAATGCTGTCGGAGCATTGAGCGTACTAGTTGTAGTGACAGCTGTCACGTATGAATTCGGCATTGTTTCGATTATTATCAGTTAATGGGATCTTCTTTTTCTGGAACCGATTTTTTTCTAACGGAATCATCGTTCCTCACATTTCCCTGATTTTTTTTTTGTAGTCATTTGGTATATGAATATTGGCAATAGATACATCAATGTATCAAGGGAATTAAAACGTCTCCAATCGACCACTCGTTCACCTGTTGTTTCTTGGTTCAGTGGAACAGTAGCGTATGTCGTCTACTCTAGACACGCTCTCCTTCGCAGTACATCATAAATATGATGATGGTTCTGATCACAGGATAATTTTTTTTATGATAGTGGTATTTCAACCATCCGGGCATTCAATGGCGAACGTAGATTTGTCAAAAAGTTTATTGACCGGTTAACATCACTGTTTTGTTTATCCATTTCATCATTCGTCACTTTCTTGCGTCACCAATCTCTAATGCGTTTCTTTGCGATCTAGCCTAAATACATCAAATCGGACAACATACCTTCTCCACATGTCTAACAGATGGATGTCGATACGTATGGGAGTGATAGGTGTGATAGCGGCCTACATTGCAGGGTATTTAATTCTTTGGCACCATGGTCGCATTGATGCCGGTTTAGCCGGTTTTTGCCTGAGTTATGCTCTCGGCTTTGTACAGATTGTGTTTGTAAGCATTTGTGATAATGTTATTTGGAAAATTTCTTCTGTTGTGATATTTTCGAATCTGTAATAATATTGTATGCGCGTTTTAAGATGTTGGTTAAAGATTACACGACCATGGAAACTAGTTTGGGCAGGTAAGATCCCCGGGCACTTTCATTCAGTATTGTTCTTGGTAGTCACACAAATGATCATTTTCTATTTCAATAATCTGTTAGTGTGGAGCGAATCCAAGAATATATTGATATGCCTCAAGAACTTACTGGCGCCATCGCTAGTGCGCATCCTCCAGCTGCAGTAAGTGAATTGACAAATTTTGGTTAAGCATCTCTTCATATTATTCACCTGTTACATACTCAATTAGTGGCCAACCAGAGGTGACATCGAAGTCTCTGATTTGGTGGTGAGATACGGTCAAAATGATCAACCTGTTCTTCGCGACATTTCGTTCACCGTCCATGACGAAGAAAGAATTGGTATAGTAGGAAGGTGAGAGCAGAACGCTTGTCGATTAATTTATTGTGATTGATCTTGACATTTCGTATTTAACAATTGTAGAACGGGTTCTGGTAAAACTACTTTAGCGAATTCATTCTTCAGATTGACCGAGGCCACCGAAGGTCGCATTGTGATTGATGGGATTGACATTTCCAATATTGGTTTAGAGGATTTACGAACCCGATTGACGATCATATCACAAGGTTTCATATTATTGATGACCAGCAAATCGTTTCACGAGACATAAAGAACTGTCACCAATTGTCATTTTTTCATAGATCCTGTTCTTTTTGAAGGAACCATTCGTTCAAACCTGGACATTCGCGAAGAATACGAAGACCATGAGTTATGGGAATCATTAAGAAGGGTACATCTCGTTCACATTGAGGAAGCTTCGCCAAATGGTCAACTATTGATTATTGGTCCTATAACGAGTTTGGATGATCCGGTAAATGAAGGCGGTAGTAATTTTTCCCGAGGACAGAGACAACTAATTTGTCTAGCCCGGACGTTATTACGACAGTCAAAGGTGCGCAACACTTTTCATTGTTGAGAGTTACATTTGGAAAACCATTTATCTAAAACTTTATTATTATTATTATTTCTTCACGTGGCATAGATCATCATTATGGATGAAGGTATTCGTTCAGATTACATGAATATTTATCTCAAGGAATAAGTCTAATTAATTGCCCTTTTAATTTTAAGCGACTGCAAGTGTCGACGCGGAAACGGATAACAAGATTCAGGAGATTATAAGAGAAGAATTTCAACATGCCACGATTCTATGCATTTCACACCGCCTCAAGACCGTCATAGATTCAGATCGAATTCTCGTTCTCAGTATGTATCATACTAATTCAAGTTCAGAAAATATTGATTAAAATTAATAATTAACAAATTTACTAGATGAAGGAATGATCGCTGAATTTGACACACCATACCGTCTAATAAACGATCCGGACAGTTTGTTCAGATATTTATGTGAACAGAGTGGGGAGCTAGAATCTCTGACGGAAATGGTCAGGCAAGAGAACCCGGACGAGTACGATGCAGAAATATATGATTATCAAACGGAACATGATTCCGATCGAACGGAAAATGAATTAGAAAACGAAATCGATGACGATCAAGACGATCAAGGTCAAGAAGAGATAGCAGAATCACCACCGCAGTATAGAGATTCGCCAGACGAATAGGCGGGAAAAAAAAAAAACATTAAGAACGCCTTAGCGGAAAGGATGTAATGATTGAAGTTAAATTGGGGCAATTGTAAATTTAAATGTACTTTTACCTTGATAACTTATAATTACGGGACAAAGAACTTAGGAATGTATAGATATAAACAATCAACACTTATGAATGATATCTCATGTTGTCAAATATAACTTAATAAATTTCATCAAACGGTCGCGTATCGTTGAAACAACTCTCAAAAACCTCGGATACAACTTTTTCTGCCAGTCCCGGTGCAGAACAAAGCGCATTGTTTTGGAGTGATAGTATGGCTCGTCTTTTCACGCAAGCCTTTGGTTAAAGGTTCGATGTAGAAATTGTTTAAGAATAAAGGTTTAAAAATTCAATTATGGAACGGTAACAGGAAGTAAAAAGGAATAGCATGCAAATGAATAACCTGATGTTGTTTCGTAAAACCAAAGAATCCTCGTCTAATTTCACGCGTCCAACGACAGTCACCACTCAGAGATGCTGCCCTAACCTGTTTGATGAAGATTTCGTCATTAAAGTGCAACTCCTTAAGTACGCGTAACCTGATTAAACGTGCGTGCGAACCTCACTACATGCATGATGATAACAATTATTCCAGTCCACCTTAAATCGACAGTGGTCATAGAGATGCATCATCTCATGTACCATTGTGTCCTCAGCGTGACCCTTACTGAAAAATCTGTTCTGACATAAAAGTATACCGTGAGCCGGTGAAAACCCCCCACTACGTGTATTGTCACATGGCAAGCATTTAAAATGTTTTTTTTCGATTTTACACCCAGCCTCTTCTAAGGACTTTAACATAAATATTACTATTGGACCTATCAAATATGCATCATTAATTTTAGTAAATAACTTTTACCAAGTAATTTTGTCAACAAACGACTTACTTCTTTTCAATAATTTGTCTCGCCACTTTTCGCATTTTCTACACTGATATTCCTCAACATTATTCTCGGACTTAAGTTTATACTCGTTTTTCTCTTTTTCTGTCAAGCCTATACCAGTGATATACATTAAGCTTTTTCTCCATCTTTCAAATTTCTTCTGATCTGTTTCTTTTATCTGCTCCAAATCATTCGGTTGTTCTGCCGTGACCATTGAATTAGCTGAAATTGCTGATCCGCGAAAGGTTAGATTAACCAAAAAAAAAAAGTATTCGTGTAACTTCTAATCAGTTATCGCCCAATCAATTTCAAGTTACATTTTTTCTTTTAAATAATGTCACTTCTTAATGAAACTTATTATGATATACTCGAAATTTCCGAAACGGCCACGATAGGAGAAATTAAAAGGCAATTTCACAAGCTTTTGCTCATTGTAAATCATCCTTCTTTTTTTTGCTCTTTGTCATGATTTTTTTCAATCTCTGATCGAAGATCACCCTGTAAAAGTACCACCCAGACAAGTCCTTATTAGATTCCAGTGCTCTTGATAAAATCGACGACAATGATAAAGTGAACAGAATTCTCGAGGCCTGGCGAGTCTTGAAAGACCCTGAATCAAGAAAGCTTTATGATGACGAACTAAGAGGTACCTTTATGATTCTTTTTTTTTTCGCATCACCAAAATAAGAAGCAATTCACTTGTGTATATAGCAAAGAAACTCGACCACGACGGAATATTCAATGCAGAAATTGATTTAGGTGACATGGAACATAGTGCAGGTATTCTCAAATATGCCATCATGACATATTCTGAATATATATATACATATAACGATCTTACGTTATAGACACGAATTCATATTCGACTTCTTGTCGTTGTGGTGGCTCGTACATTGTTTTTGAAGATGATTTGGACCATGGTGCAGATATAATTGGATGCACAAATTGTTCATTGAGAATACGTATACTATATGAAATTATTATAGAGTAAAAAAAAAACGATAATTTATTGATAACTGTGACATACATTTTATAGCTACAGACGGGTGACAGAAAATTAGGACGTCTATCAATTTTTTATAGTAAAACATAATAAAAATTGAAGTTTCTGTGCTATATGAAAGTTACCATTTTTTCTAATAAATGATTTTTTATTTCACACTAACATTGAATTAATCAATTACATATCTTGAAAAAAAGTTAAGAATTTTTTCCTAAGTATTATATATAAAAATCATAAAAAATCATAAAATTACGTTTTAGTGACTGTGTCGATCTCTATAGGAAAAGTTTTTAGAAAGAAAAAGCCCTTTTTTGAGAAGTACAATTGATGCCTTACATAATTATATAAAATAAAAGGTTGTTATCATAAAAATTATAAACTTTTATATGGTACAAAAATTTTAATTTTTACTATATTTTATTGATAGGCGTCCTAATTTTCTGTCACCTATCTGTACAACCTATCACAAAAGTTTAAATAAAAATGACTAACAGATTTTTTTCTAATTTTTGTTCAGATTTAAATTGTAATTGCTCAATATAGAGATAAATTAAAGTTAAACAGTTTATTTAGAAAGTTAAGATTTTGACTTTGAATAAATTAAAAATAATGTCTTCACAACATTATTAATTAACAAATTTTGAACATGGAGAAACTATTGGTCTTTTTAAAAATAGTTCTTTTTAACAAGTATTATCAAAACTTTGAATTGTTTTTTAACTACAATTGCAAATATAATTAATATATATAATGCTTGTACAATCATATGTGTTGTTAGAATTATCAAAAATAGTTGTTATCAAACAGTTAAACAAATTACAAAACAATTTAATACAGTTATAAATATTACTATTAGTACTAAAACTATTTGTTATATTCTTTATAAACAAGATTTCATAGTCATACTAAAGTTAAAAAATCTTAAATTTCAAAACAAAATAAAAAAAATAAGTTAATACTGTATTTATAAAAACAAAAAAATTAATTTAATAAGTAAAAATTAATAATTTAAAATAATTAATTTATCTGTTATATTAAAGTTAAACATAAAAACATCTATAGCAAATTTAACATATTATATCGAATTTATTAATTGAATCTTATTATATCAAATTTTTGAAATTTTTGTTTTATAGTTCTGACCTCTTCATTATAACAAGATTTAACTATAATTATAATTACAGTGATATCTGTCTAAATGCATATTGTTTTTTTTTTTTTTTTTTTTCCCAGTAGGTAAATATCATTTCTTTATTTATTAGTATATTGATAGATATACATTGCGAAAGAAACAACATCTCTTGAGTGCAAAAAGCATACAACAAGTTAAATGCTAGCCTGCCTACACTTCTATACCTAGCTAATATCGAAAAGAAATTTTT